CCGGGGCAGGCGCGGCGGCGGCGGGGCCCTCCATGGCCGGAGAAGAAGGCCGGGGAGGAGGAGCAGTTGGCTTCCGCGCAAGCGAGGAGCGAGCGAGCAAGTGCGGGTTGGGGGGGGGGGCGATTTTCCTCTCAACCCCTACTTCTACGGATTACAAACTGGTTTGAGGGTTGGACCTCTAATTTTTTTTACAGGTTTGAGGGTTTAAAGGTTCTAGTCTACGGCATTTTTTTCGCAAAAACTATAAAAAAACAGTTATTTTTAGAGGTTTGAGGGTTTGAGGGCTCTACTAGTAACTCTGAGACGCCGCGGTGCTCTCGCTGCGGAAGTACGACCGAGAAGCTTCCAGAACCCCCAAACCCACATAAACCCTCTCCCCGTCCCTCGAACCCAGAGGCGCCACACAAGTTCGATTCTCGCCAAACCCCACCTCTCTCACACACACAAACACGCGGCCATGTACCGGGCGGCGGCGGCGGCCATTTCGCGGTCCTCCTCCTCGGCGCTGCGGCGGCAGCTCGCCCGCGGCGGCTTCGGCGGCGGGGGCGGGGAGCAGCGGCAGTGGGTGCGCGGGTATGCGGCGAAGGAGGTCACCTTCGGCGTCGGCGCGCGCGCCGCCATGCTGCGGGGCGTCAACGACCTCGCGGACGCCGTCAAGGTCACCATGGGCCCCAAGGTTCGTCCGTTCCCCCCTCTCGCTCCCGATCAGCGCGGATTGGCCGGCGCGATGCGGCAGTCGGCGCGGATCTGGCGGGAAAACGCCTGGCCAGCTCGTAGGGTTTGATTTGTCGGCTGAGTTGGGTTGCTTGCTTGTGTCGCAGGGGCGCAATGTGGTTATCGAGAGATCGAACAGATCCCCTAAGGTCACCAAGGACGGGGTCACCGTTGCCAAGAGCATAGAGTTCGAGGACAGCGCCAAGAATGTCGGGGCGAGCCTGGTGAAGCAGGTCGCGGATGCCACTAACAAGGCAGCAGGAGATGGTAAGCACCGAGGGCTCTTGGAAATTCCTGAACTTGATAATCATCTCATCTACTTAGCTGTTTTGTTGAGCAAAGCATCCCCTTTTCTCTTTTATTTACATGCTAATAATTTCATGCCAGTGAGTGTGGTGTTAATTCTGATGTCTTACCTTCTCTATCATGTGTAGTTAATCCCTTTGTTAGCAAGTAGTAGCAGATTGTTGTGCTGCCCCAGGACTAGGAAGTTTTGATGCTAGTTCAGTGTATTTAACTGTTGTTGCTCGCTGCAATGTGATGTTCAGTCATTCGTGCCTGCAGTATTCCCACGACAGATGAATAGCAATAGCTCGTGCTTTGTATTATTTTTGTGCCTCACCTGTGTGGTGTGCCTCCAGGCTCTACCTTCAGATCCAGTGCACTAGTTCTGATCACTATGATCTCTACATGATTTGACCTACTTCTAGTTTAGGCCTAGTCGCCTAGATTACATTGTGATTTGATACTTGCCATATTTTATTCCTCATGCAGATGGAGTAACTAACAATTTCCCATATTTTGCGATCTGCACTAGTTCTCACAATTTGATTTCTACTGATGGATCAACTAATTTTAACCTAGGCATTCTTGAAGAAATCATTTAGTTTTCAGACATGCAATCACGCTGTACCGTTCTTTAGGAAAACGTGGGATTCGTTTCCAAACATTGTTACTCGTTGTTTTGCCATAAGTGAGATGAGAAATACTCCCTCCGTCCGGAAATACTTGTCCTCGAAATGGATAAAATGGATGTGTCTATAACAAAAATAAGTCTAGATACAACCATTTCGAGGACAAGTATTTCCGGACGGAGGGAGTAGCTGGCATTTAATCTGAAGCAACATGCTATAAAGAGTAGGAACTTCTCATGTGTGTGGTCTCTGTGAAATGCCTTGTCCTTTCATCAAGATCTGAGGGTAGGGAACTACTTGCCTATTTATGTGAATGGAGCATCGCATGGCATTTACTTTGTTTCTGATCGTGTGGGTCAACAGGTACCACTTGCGCAACTGTGCTTACACAGGCAATTCTCACGGAAGGCTGCAAGGCTGTGGCAGCAGGGGTCAATGTTATGGATTTGCGGAAAGGCATAAACAAGGCTATAAGCGCCGTCACTGCTCACCTCAAAAGTAAAGCATGGATGATTGATTCCCCAGATGAAATAAACCAGGTAAGATACTCTCATTTGCTGCGGTGGCCTGTTATGTGTGCTTATGTATCTTTGATGTAGTTATTATTTGTATCTGCCATGGGTAATCAAAAATCATCATTATGATTCATTACTAGACACTACTCCCTCTGTAAACTAATATAAGAGTGTTTAGATCACTATTTTAGTATTCTAAACACTCTTATATTAGTTTACGGAGGGAGTACATAGTAACTTAACATTCATTGTTTGTACTTTAATTGGAAACCTGGCCTAGACATACCCACCTCATTTTTGTCTTGTAAACCAGGTAGCTACAATTTCTGCAAATGGCGAAAAGGAAATTGGAGATCTGATATCAAAAGCTATGGGAATAGTTGGAAAGGATGGCGTCATTACTATTGCTGTGAGTGCTACCAGCTGTTTTTGCTACTATATTGGGTTTATCTGGTATTCTGCTACTAATTCTTACAAATGGGCAGGATGGCAAAACATTGGATAATGAGCTTGAAGCAGTCCAGGGAATGAAGTTGACTAGAGGCTACATATCCCCTTACTTTGTAACTGATCAGAAGACTCAGAAATGTGTGAGTTTTTATTTCCTTTTCTTCTTTTCTATACTGACAAATTCAGCATGTTTACTGTCTGTAAGGGATTTCTTCAAATCCTCCTTTTGTTTTAACTTTTCCATGGCAATATGCATGTAGGTGGGAACTTATCAGTAGTACTCCCTCCGTCCCAAATTACTTGTCTTAGATTTGTCTAGATACGGATGTATTTAGTGTTAGATACATCCGTATGTAGACAAATCTAAGACAAGTAATTAGGGACGGAGGTTGTACTTGGGAAGTCAATGGCTGTAGTTTGTTTCCTCTTTGTTTACAGTTGCTTCAATGTATTCTTAAATAGACTACTACACTTCCTACTTTTGAGGATGACACATGCTGCTTGTGTTTTCTCTTGTAAACTTGAATTACAATTGTTTGGTATCTGTCTGCAGAGATTATTGTAGGCATGTCACATACTTCCTCTAGTACAAAGTTGTACTAAAGTTAAGATACTTATTTTGGGACGGAGGGAGTATTTGATAAGAGCAGATAGAAAATAAAGATGAGAGGGATACCATGCATATCAATAGACAATGAAGATTTTATATGAATGATCTGAACTGAATCCATGTTTCTGATTTATCCTTTTTTCATGTGCAGGAGTTGAAAGATCCTCTGATTCTTATTCATGACAAGAAAATCTCAAACATGAATTCACTTCTTCCAGCAGTGCAAATTTCTATTCAGGTAACTCCATTAAGTTCAGTGCTTGCTTTTGTTTATCCCATGATGGAAATTTGGTGGCAACTGATAAATCATGATTGATCTATGTAGAACCGCAGACCTCTTCTCATTTTTGCTGAGGATGTAGATGGAGAAGCTCTATCAATGCTTGTACTGAACAAGCATCGTGCTGGACTAAAGGTATTATGAATCATTTCTTTAGTTCTTACTTCTGTCATCCTTCCGTACTCTTATAAGCTGGTTGGCAATGTGCACTCTTGGCATTGAAGTAAGCCTTTTCAGTTTGTTTTTCCTTTTGTCTGTGGTGTCTATTTCCTTCACTAGGCTCAAGCTACTCTGGATTGTTGTCCCAGAGAAGCTTATTTAAGCAAAATTCCGAACTAATTTTGAGGCCTTGGCTGTAGATATGTGCCGTCAAAGCTCCTGGATTTGGTGAAAACAGAAGGGCCAATCTGGATGATATGGCTGTTTTAACAGGAGGGCAGGTTAGTTGTTAACAGAACAATCAAGTTGGTTAACATGACTGACATTACTATGAATGAATTTGACTTGATATTTCATTTTAATGTCAAGGTTATTAGCGAGGACCAAGGTCTTGATCTTGATAAAGTCGAACTACAAATGCTCGGCACAGCTAAGAAGGTTTGTCAACTTCCATAAATTGTTACACTTGAGAGCAATATAGTAACATTATTTGAAGAAAAAGAACCATACAGTGACATTTTCTTCACAGGTTACTGTATCTCTTGATGACACTATCATTCTAGATGGTGGAGGTGAAAGGCAACAGATAGAAGAGAGGTGTCAACAGGTACTCTAAGAATCATCACATTTGACTCTTTGTCTCAAGTTAAGCTATCTGGATACTGGTTCAGGTAATTCTTTCAGTATAAGTCACAATTTTTGTCATGTGGATGCCCTTCACAGCTTAGAGAATCACTTGAGAACAGCACCTCCATGTTCGACAAAGAAAAGGCTCAAGAGCGTTTATCAAAATTATCTGGAGGCGTTGCTATTCTCAAGGTTTGTTAGTTTCTAAGTATGGTGTAAGGTCCCTTGTTTTGTGTGCTCGTCACAGCATACACATTTATTTTGCAGATTGGTGGAGCTAGTGAAGCTGAAGTTGGTGAGAAAAAAGACAGGGTAACAGATGCTCTAAATGCTGCAAGGGCTGCTGTGGAGGAGGGTATTGTTCCAGGTAATCACATTTTTCTTGAGCAGCTTGTACAATATTTCTCCACTATTTCTTATTACTTTGTTTCCGCAACCTGATTTTATGTTGTATGTGTTCCCAATTAACGTCATGCCTAACAGGTGGTGGAGTTGCACTTTTATATGCCACCAAGGAGATCGACAATATTAGCACATCGCATGAGGATGAAAAGATTGGAGTTCAGATTATCAAGAATGCTTTGAAGGTTACTTCTTGTGCTGATTATGATGCTCTTCTGCACTTCACGCACTTGGTTATTCCATATCCGGACGTACATGAATTATTCCGTAATTTCTGCAGGCCCCTCTGATGACCATAGCTGCAAATGCCGGCATCGATGGTGCCATAGTTATTGGGAAGCTACTGGAACAAGATAATCTTAGTCTGGGCTATGATGCAGCAAAAGGTCTGCGCAAATTAACTGTATTTCAGCTGTCGATTCTTAGTTGCAGTAAAAATGGCAATCCTAATATTTCTCCAACAGAATAATAATCTCTAGAGGTTCAGTAGCTGATTCTTGCGTTTTGCCTAATGCAGGGGAGTATGTTGACATGATCAAGGCTGGTATCATCGACCCCGTGAAGGTGATCCGAACTGCACTTCAAGATGCAGCAAGGTACAGCTCAAGTTCTCTAACCATGTACCTTTGCACGACCGACAGAAACAATCAAACTTGTCTGACAATCTGTGTTTCTGGTACAGCGTTTCTCTGCTGATGACAACCACAGAGGCCGCAGTCGCTGAGCTTCCGTCGACAAAAGCCAGAATTGCCAGTCGCATGCCGGACATGAGCGGAATGGGTTTCTGAGGTCGAGTGCGGCATGCCGTCTCATTTACCTGTTTTTTTGGTTAAAGACATGACAAACTTTAACTACCCCGGCGTATACATGAATAGGAACTCCCCTCCCTATCAAGTGAGAGGTGCAAAGCTGGCACCTATTTTGGTTTCTGAAAAACTCGTGGTTCAGTGCTGATGTAGCCTTAACTAGATTTAGAACCCTTTCATTTTGGGTCAAAACTCAGATAGATTCTGACAAGACAAGCATTTGGGGCTTTGAATGTTTACTGGGCAACGCCTGGTGTTATTGAAGTGCTTCTCTGATCAGTGCAATTTGCCTGTGCCCTCCTTGTGTTTTCAACTTTTCATGGTGGTGTGCTCGTGGCTGCTCCGGTGCTGCATACATGAAAAGTATATACTCCCTCCATTTCAGTTACTTCACGTATTAGGTCTCGTGACATTGCCTATCGTTGGCTGCACACTACAAATTTCTGGTGTTGATCACCATCTCAACCTTGTCCAACCTTGCCCAGTGAGCGTTGGGAACTTTTGATGTATTCCAGAACATGATAACTGTTAAGCTGGCAATGACTAGAACCTTTGTTTTTGAATTTGAACTAAACCCACGACGAGTAAATCGGAACGGAGGGAGTAGATGATGCAAAATGGGTGCCTCCCAGCCCTATCTATTTCGCCTGGAAGATCATCAAATCGATAAAATGCAAACAATCTGCTCCGCGATAGAAGTATCAATTTATTTGTGCAAACAAGCATACATAAAAAGACCATTATGATTCCACGGCACTGCCCAATCACCAGAATGTAAATTACAAGAAATGCAGCAATGCCATAGCTACACAGCAAACAGTGAGTTACTTATGAGAGGCCTCCGATCAAGAAAAAGGAGAAGAGCAAACTACTCCCATGACCCCTTCGAACTCGAAGGAGCTCTATGCCGGCTTAGCTTCCTCGGGCGTCTGGATGAAGCGGGGAACCTCTCCGTTCACCACCCTCCATGGCCCCCAGTAGAACATGGGCGGCATGATCGGCACCGCCTCGCCCGGGTGATCCTCCCAGTACTTCTCCTGCTCCAAAAATACAACAGCAACACACAATCAGGTGAAACCCAGAGGCGATTTAAGCACACAGAACTAAGCCTCTCCAATGCAGTATCATAATTGCGATCTTCCGATTTTCAAATGAGTTCCTAAATCTGAAGCCACATATCACCGTAGGAGATCAGAGGAATCTGGCAAGTGAAGAATGCAAATGATGCCATGGCTGGAGCTGGACAATTTTATGATGCGAGCACGGGCTGTGCTATCCTGAGCAAGGAGGCATTTCGTCGAGCATCTACCGCGCGAGCGAGCGCGCAGACAGGAAGGGGGAGCGACGTCCGAGGAGGCCCCGGCGTCGGTCCGAGAGTGAATGGCCTGACCTTGTAGAGCTGCTCGGTGACGGCGGCGGCGACGACGGCGGTGTAGAAGGCGGCGACGTAGGTGCCGACGAGCGGCGCGAAGGAGCGCGGCGGGCGGTAGGGCTCCACCATGTCCCACAGCACCGTCTTCTCCCACTTGTGGAACTGCCGGTCCGCGTACCACCTCCACAGCCGGCTCGCCATCTCCCCTTCTTCCCTCCGGCAGCTCGCTGCAGCCTCCCCGGCGACCGGCGGCGACGCTGGCGTGGGTTCGGTCCGAGATCAGGTTCGCTCCTCTGGCCTCTGGGCCTGGACGCTTTCCTGCCCGGCTGGCTATTTGAGCCCGCCCGGTCCGGCCCGGTCCGGCCCATATGTACCACGGCGCTCCCAG